TGCATCCATTTCTACGGCGTACCTGCTGTCACTGTGAATGCTATCCAAAATTCTATATCTCTTCCTCATCTGCATGCAACTTAACTGAGAATGCAGATGACAATCACTCTAAATGACCTTTATCCTCTCTGTCGTTACGAACGAACTGCATGATATCAGATCGGCTGCGTTTTGCTGCTGTCATGCGGCAAACAGGTGCTCACCTTCAATTTTTTGCTCCGTAAAATTTCGTCCTTTATTTCTCGAACTCTTGCATCTTTGATCGCAATGCTAGTCACTGATCTTAAGGCGTCCTGAGAGACCATGAACAAAAAAAATCAGCATGCCAATAACATCGAAAGGAGTTAGCTTACCCCGGCGCGGTATGCAAAGCCGTCCAACTCGTCCATGTTAAGCCGGTACGGCTTTAACACGTCTTCACGATCTTAAGCGCAGATCAATATCTCTTTATATTTATTAAATTTATTTAGTACTTTGCTCCAAAAGAACTTGACGCACGTTTTCCACAAGTTTCAGTTCATTTGAAGACGCGAACGATAGAGCATTACCTTGATTCCAAGCTCTCGCAGTCCTAAAATTATGGGTATCAAAAACTAGTTCTTAATCGAAAATTTGCAACAAATATATTATGAATGAGTGTCAGTTATGGCAGCGGTATTCCTTCCACATCGCTCATCGATATCAAAGCTGAGTTTGACAAAATTAATCAACCAACGATATAGAACATCATAAGACGTTACTTTACTCCAAACAATATCATCAACATGGTGGGACAACTCTAAAATATGCCGTTAAAACAGGAGACGCTCTGTCGATGTGGTTCGAAGTTAGAAAGGGTATGACAAAGGAGAAGTTGTTTTCCGCATGTTGTTTGGCACTGTCTTCGACTATACGATTAAATTAAACGATAAACCATCATGCTGAAAATGAACTGATGCTGAGCCGAGGGTGCAACTTAAAGTATCCCGCCGTACGCCTCAAAGAACTTGACTATGCGCCCGATATCATTCTGCTAAGCGACAATGGAGACAGAACGCAGCATATGACGGAATCGACTCAAGCCACTGCAGAACAAGAGGATCTTGACTAAATGGAGAGAAGACCAAATTATTTAGGAAAGTAGAAGTAACAATGGTGACGGATATATCATTTGATGGAGACCGGTTGGCCGACAGAGATCGTTTTAAATACTTCGGCTCAACAATTGCCAGCGCCAACCGCCGTGATACAGATGGGCACCGATGTACAGCTTTAGCAGTTGCGTCATTTTGGAAGTGCAGAAAAATTAGCACCTGAAGGACATCAACTTAACCATGGAAGTCACGATCTTCGCGTCCTCGTTCTCATGTCCTTTACTACTCAAAAACCGCTTTCTGGACGCATTTTAACTAAGACTGTTCTATACAGTCTTTTAAGGACATACTTGCATCGTGGAACAATGAGCCAGGAGGTACTGCCCGCAACGAACATATTAAACTTAAATGCGCGCTGCAGAAGCGACGAAGAACAACGTTGGCCCATTAGACTCTTTTGCAGCAACCCGGAATTTAGACGAGGAACGTGGCAAACCAATCGTCAAATAGACCCCCCCCCATCGCTAAGGAGTATTTCATTTGCAGAGCAGTGAAAAGTGAAGAAAATCGTATTAACTCGCTAGCCTTCCTGATGAATCAGCTTAAGCGCCACAGCTCCGATAGCAAATACACAACTAAAAGACAACAGTACATAACTGCGATATAATACATATGCTTAGGGCTTCAGATATTGCTGAAACGCTACTCAGTCACTTCAGAATATTAAAAGCAGAGTGTGAATCTATCCTTACCTTAATTGGGAAATCATCCACTCGAACACACTAAAAACGTATTTTTAGCAGGAGTACTGGATTCAATATGGGAAAGATCTCAACGTAATACTACCTTCTTCCTATATTTCGCCTTACTGTTTTCACTTTTCCCTATAATCTTGTGCTCGCCTTCATTTTATTTTTGGCCTCGTCCTTTTCGTCCTTATCTTAACCTTCCTCTCATTTTCCTTCTACTATTCCTATAGCATCCCGATCGACGCAAGCATTTGTATGAGATTTCTACATTTAACAGCTGTGGGGCAGTACAATTAACCTTCTCCAATGTTTAACCTATCTCTTGATGGTATTCACCTACATTTTGTGAAAACAACTCCACAGTATCCAGTCTCGATAGTGAGCCATCTTCAATAACCTACTGTTATCCATTCGCTGGCAATGACCCCACCACTTTAAACAGCTTACGTGAAACTACTCTATTGTCATATCTAGGCCTTTTTCTCACTTCATAATTCAACAGAAAAACATCCCATCTAAGTTTGGTCAGCAGTCGAGCTATCTTTACCCATATGATTCGGCAGTTGCAATTGTTTATGCTAACTGTTACTACCCACAGCTACGCTGCTTCTTAACTGAATATTCATAAAGTGACAGAGGAACTGTGACGCGACCAAGGAACACTAGTGCAAGTAGCCTGTTTCCGAAACCTACTGACTGAAATGCTGGAAAGGTGCAATTTTTCGTATTAACTGTACACTCGCTCAGCAAACTATTCTGTTTTACAGTTCCAACGTATACAGCCCATCTGATGTCCTTAAAGTACATGATTTCTTCCAGAAATCCTGACAAAAGCCGCTAAAGAGTAGATTCATCAGGCTACTTTAAGCAATAAAATAAATAACTCCTCATCTGTAAAAAAATGATGATGGAAGTGAAAATCAAATAGCATAAATACACTTTATATCAATTTATTAACTATATAGCCATATTACCGACCGACTCTGTGAACGTAATCTTCGACGGTCCTTGGAAAATCGAAATTGATCACATTCGACACCTGATTAAAGTCTATTCCACGCGACACCACAGCATCATCTTCATGTATACGCCTGAAAACAGAAAATGAAGCGAAACTGAGGAGGCACTGCTCATGAAAATTATAGTCGAACTAAACTATTTATAAAATAAGAAAGGACTGAATCAAACATAAGCATAAAATATTTTACATCAAATGAATGAAACGGAAACGATTAACCATGCGAATGGTTCGCTTACCTTTTCGTTGTTTTCCCAGCTGCACTTTTACTTCGCTTCGATGAGCTTGTCTCCACAGAACTCTGATCGCTGGCGATGATAACTTCGTAAAGTCCGCTATTGAACTGGTCAATTATGTGACACCTCAACGACAACACATTCACAATAAAGCAAGCACAATAAGCAGAATCAAACACATGGGCTATTAACAGATTAAATGAAAAGACAAGAGAATAAAAGAAATGATAGGGAGAGAGACGAGAAAAATATAAGTATAAGTATAGGTGAAAAAGTGATGAAATGATGGTCATGGTGGCGATGAAGGTAATGATTATGACAGAAATATGAAGATTAAGACAAAGAAGAAAAAAATGGTGAAAAAAATGTAGAAGCAGAAAGAGAACACAAGTCACTCATCACAGATTACCTTGAATTCACTGGTAATTCAGAGTTGAGAACGCAAGATGGGATGCCGAACTGATCGAGGAACAACTTTAGCCTAAAATAGGTATATGGTTCATCAACATAAAACATAAACTATTAATATTACTTGTAACAACGGTCGATCGTGTTAGCGAAGACAATAGTCTTTCCGCGAATGAGACGCAATTTGAACAGCGCATAGATGATTGTGAATTTGTCATCGCGTTCAGAGCTGAAAAACTCAGAAGCTTTACTACGAGGACGGGTGAAGAACAATTTAATGCGTACCGTATCAAATACTGCACCAACTGAGACTTAGGAGGCAACTGTGACTCTTCCAGCTTCAGAATTACAGCGTTATGCAGAACTAACTTCTTCAGCGCAAGAACTTCGTCAGTCATCGAAGCCGAGACGAGAAACGCTTGGTATGCCACCGGAAGATAGCTGGAACACATGAATAGCAGATTAGCAGCAAAATCACATGCTTCCATAATCGGGGATGGTACATTTTCAAGAAAATATGCCTAATCTGCATAATCGACACTGAAAGTAAGTCCTTAGAACGGCATTTAAGCACAGGAAGAGAAGAACCAAAGATTTGACGACTACCTTCAGCGACTGCCAACTACGCAGCGAAATAACACGAATAACCAACGCCAAGAAATACCGCTTAGAAACACAATTCACCTATTCTAAAACAAATCCAAATCTGTGATATACACTGAAAAGTTTTAAACGGCTTCAAATAATCATTTCTATGATGTGATGAGATTGAACCTATCGATATGATGTAACCATAGGTAAAGTTTCTCGTTCCTTTAAGTACATTACTGCACTCGTTTTCCTTCAAACATTGAAAAACAACTGACCTCTTCCCTCTCGCGGGAAGCAAGTAATCTTCTGTGAAACAACTCAACGTTCAACTGTTAATTAATGGTGACGCAGGTGGATTACGTACAAAAATATGAATTTCAAGGGCCTCAAAAAACGCCCAAAGGACTGGGTCCAGGCCAAGTTTTATACCAACACATCAGGTTATATTTTGGCAAAACTTCGTTTAAATCGTCAGAAAAGATAGGAAATAGTCGGGGGCCTGGTGGCAGAATGGCAAATAAGTCCGCTTTGAACTTCAGAGGTGCCGGGTTCAGAGGCACAAAAGGAACAGCTTTGTCTTAACAACGAATTCCCCTAATCAAGGAGTTTACCCAAAGTTACTTCGGCGGAAAAACGGACAGCAAGTCATCGATATTAGAATAATACAGCCAGCATGGTATTTTGCTGTGTCATAAGGCCACGCTGTCCGATGCGAGTGCAACTTGTGGCTGCGCTTCGCTTTCAACCACTTGATAATTGACTATTTAACACAAATAATCAGCAGAAAGCGTAACCCTAAAAAAACATCTATGATGTTAATGAACAGGCAGTATTTCAAACAGGTGAGGCATGATTCCGAAACTCAATGAATATTTCTATATTGTCAAACTTCAACCAGCTCAAACCTAATTATTTATGGCTATGACGACCCTGGCGAAATTCTGTATTACCTTATTATCTGCTTAAGATCGTCCTCATATCCGAAAGACAATGTGAGATCCGCTTCATCGATAACAAAATATTCTAACGTTTCTTTCAACGACAGATGGCCTTGTTTCAGATGATGCAGCAATCGACCGGGAACGCTAACCAGAATATCCGGATTTTCAGACAGTATGATGCTAAATTTCAAAACGATGAAGTAGCATTTAATTAATAATTAGTTCCAAAATTAACCAAAAAACTTTGTCTTACGTCTGCACAGTGTCATGTTCCTGCTTCACCAAATCAAGACAAACGACGTCCTTTGAGCAAAATGCGCACAGCGCATTCATATGTTTGCATATTTGCGTGGCGAGATCTTTTGTCGGCGCCAGAATAATTGCTCGAATGCATTGTTTACCGGTAGACTAGAAAAAATGATGAACAAGTCATGGATTTTTTTAGGACTCTTCCACCTAGCAAAAAAAGAAACAAAACACTAAAAAGCTAACT